CTATGTAGTTGAGACTGACCTGGAAGTCACTATGTACCTCCAGCTGGTCTCGAACTCACAGTGATCCTCCTGCCTCAGCCTACAGAGTGCTGGGATGACAGGCGTACCCAACCACACCTGGCAGTTCTAAAAATGTTTGATATTTAAATAGTGTGATTGAACTAAAGCCTGAAGAAACAAAAAGCCACGCCTGTCACCCCAGCGCTCTGGAGGCTGAGGCAAGAGGACGGATGTGAATTGAGGCCAGCCTGACTACATGGTGAGGGCCTGTCTAAAAAGACAAAAAAAAAAAAAAACTTGAAAATTTTAGCAAGCAAGCATTTTGTGATAAAATCAGTGGCTTTTATTTTGTAGATAGTTAAAAGCCCACCGAAATACTTCATTGGCAGATGGCTGTGACACAGAATCAGTTTAACCTGGTTTTAAAAAGCAGCATGGGGCTGGGGAAGGACCTGAGTTCCATCCCCGGTAACAACAACAACAACAAAAGCAGCATGTACATTTTACTTTCAAGCGAACTTCAGTTACCATTCAGGTATATTTATTTGTGGCCTTACATTCACTTTCACTACAATCGTTTAATCTGAATGTTTAAGCATCCAGGTCCCTCGGGGCAGCTCAGTGGCACTGTGCGGTGACTTTTGTTTTTGATGCTGGGGGCTGAACCCAGAGCCCTGGCGCTGAGCAGCTGAGCTACAGCCCCAGCCTTTATTTGTCCCAGGGCTGAGGGCTGAATCCAAGGGCTTCTGCACTGAGCCCTTTAGTTTTGTCTTTTGAGACCGCTGGCATCTCCCTAAATTGCTCCATTCCCCAGGCTGGGCTCAAACTCTCCAGAGCGCTGGGATTACAGGAGCACACACCGCAGGCATCAGCCTCCTCCTCTCTCAGGGTTGCACAAACGAGGACACCGGATGAGATTAACCGAGGGGTTCTTCTCCCACCCCGCGGCTCGCGGCCTGCGCCCTCCATCGCCCGCCTGTGGGAAACAGGATTCCCGGCCCGGGCGGCCCCGAACCCACAGGCGGCGGTGTTTTCACCTCCTGCGTCTTAGGCTGGAATTTCAGATTGAGAAGGGATAGAAAAAATAAGGCTAGGTAGCAAGGACACGAGAGACACCATCATTTTTAAAGTGTCCTTTCAAGAGAAACTGCATCTTCAGGACTCACTGCCAAGGTTAGGTTAGGAACCCCCTTAGTCTTCCGGGAAGCTCGCCACGCGCCCGCAAGGGTTCACAGCTGCAATGAGCATGCGCGATAAGCCGTTGTGCGCCTGCGCCGTTCATTCCGCCCCCGTTCCCGCCGGGCGCGGCCCTCCTAGGCGGTGTCAGCGCGCGAGACTTCACGCATGCGCGGATGGCTCCCGGGCCGCCCTCGCATGCCGCATGGGTGGGCCGAGAGCCTGCGCCATCCGGTCGCCCATCTTGGGGACGTTCCTGAGATTGCCCGATCCCCGCCCCAGAGCACGACGCCCCCCTTTGAGCTCCCCGAGAGTGACCTTGTGTAGTTCCGCCTTTCTTACCCCCGGAGGGCCTCGCCCTGCCCTCCTAACCCGGTTGCTCTCTGTTCCCGGTGGGAAAGGTAGGGGGAGAACTCTGGCTCTGGGCAGCCTGGAGCCTACTCGGTTGCGTTGGCAAGATTTTTTTTTTTTTTTTTTTGCTAGTACTGGGCTACATCCTCAGGCCTGTTTAATTTTGAGACAGGGTCTTGCTTGTTCAGGCTCGGCTCAAATTTGCAATCCTCCTGCCTCAGCCTTCCAGAATGCGGGTGACAGGTGTGGGCCACCACGCTCAGATATAAGGGTTTCTTAGGTGTGGTGTGAGGGAGCAGGAGAGGAAACAGTGTCCTTAGCAAGGCCTTCGGCTTGTGGTGTCTCGTGGGTTAATGCACACATAGTTGATTAGTTGATCAGTTGAATAATTAGGTACTGAGTACTCAATCTATAGCAAAGATTATGCTTGTTTCATGATTATGTCTTCTCACTGTTCTTTGGGCCTCAACCCTAGGAAAAGTCTTTGACAGTCAGTGGATGTTTTATAATCCTAATCGACCCCTTGTTGGCACCTAAATACTTCCTTTAGTTCTGAGACCCGATACCTTCCTGCTTCTACCTGTTGACTCTTAACGTATTCTTCCTCTGCTAACTAAAATACTGAGGTTCTTCCAAGTTTGACCATTCAAGTTTTGTTTTTTTTTATTTCCCTGCATGAAGACAATAGTTCCCTGAACTCCAGGCACAAACCCTATTCTAAAGAATCCCAAATTAACATTTTCTTGCAAGGCATGGTATCATATGCTTGTAATTTAGCACTCAGGAGGCTGAGGCAGGAGTATCTTCATGAATATGAGGCCAGCCTGAGCTATATAGGGAGTTCAAGTCTAGTCTAAACTACATAGCAAGAGTTTGTCTCAAAAAGACAACAATGAAATTAACAAAAACCAAATTAATATATTCAGCCCAGAGCCAGCACGCCTGTAATCCCAGAACTCAAGAGGCTGAAGCAGGAGGATCACCACAAGTTCTAGGCAAGCCTGGGCTCCACTGTGAGTTCAAAGCCAGTCTGGACTACAAAGGGAGACCCTGTCTCAAAAACAACAACAAAGCCGGGCCTGGTGGTGCACACCTGTGACCCCAGCACTTTGGAAGCTGAGGCAGGAGAATCACTTCCAGTTCAAGGCTGTCCTTGGCTACATAGTGAATTCAAGGCCAGCCTAAATTACATAGCAAGATCCTGTCTCAAAAAAAAAAAAAAAAAAAAATTTATTTAAGGGCTGAGGGGCAGAGCCCTTGCCTATGGTGTAATAGGCCCTAGGTTCCATCCCCAGTACTACAAAATAAAAAAGAGGAAAAAAGAAAAGAGAAGGATATGCACTCGCCCTATATATATAAATTTTTTTTTTTAGACAAGGTCTCGCTCTGTAGCCCAGGCTGCTCTTGAATTCACAGCAATCCTCCGGCCACCTCAGCCTCCCGAGTGCTGGGATTACAAGTGTGCAACCAAAAATAAATACATAATAAAAAGCTGTGTGTGGTGGCGCACACCTGTAATCCCAGCACTCGGGAGGCTGAGGCAGGAGGATCTCTGCGTGTTCGAGACTAACCTGGGCTATGTAGTGAGTTCCAGGTCAGTCTCAACTACATAGTGAGACGCTGTCTCAAAAAAACAAACCCAAACAAAAAACCCTAACAAGTGTGTACCACCATACCAGGCTCACTGTACTATTTTAAATCCCTGTCTCCTTCAGTTACTTCCCTTTGCCGGCCCTTCCCACCCGCCATCCTGTGTGCCTCCTGCTTAGCAGATGCTGTCCCCGCCCACTCCCCAGGGACTACAGAGGCCCCCTGCCTTCCTCCTCCAGCTGGCAGTGGGCCCAGCCCGTTTCCTACCCAGCTCCCAGTGCAACTTCCTGGCTGTTCATGGGCTCTGTCTTCTGTCACTAATCCCCCACTTCTACCGGTCCTTCCCACCAACATTTATGACTGTGATTAAAAACTAAAACGGAGAATTCAGATGTGTTAGGGACGTGTACCAACTCTCCACAGGGAATGTGATCATTAGGTACTACAAGCATGGGCGAATACATTTTTTTAAAGGAAAAATCTGGTAAATGTTTAAAACATTTTTTATTAGAGAAAAAAAAACCACATTGCCACAAATCTCCCTTAAAATCCTCCCCCTCACCGGGTGTGGTGGCGCACTCCTGTAATCCCAGCACTTGGGAGGCTGAGGCAGGAGGATCGTGGTGAGTTCAAGACCAGCCTGGGCTACATAGTGAGTTCTAGATCAGTCACTACTACATAGTGAGACCCTGTCTCAAATAACCAAAAAAAAAAAAAAAATCTCCCCTCACTTA